GTCTGCACGTGTTCGTGTAGCACTGCAGGCATTTAGTCCTGCTACAATTAAGTGCCCCCTTGGAAATTCCAACTTGGCCTTGAAGAGATTGCAAAGTTTACTTGGCAGTAGAATAGGTACAATTTGGTTTTGAGCTGCAATAATCTTTTTTTTCAATAGAATTTGTAGATTATTTAAGATAGACTCGGTAACACTTTCATGGCTACGTCTTACATTTTTCTAGTATTGTTTCTATTATGCTTAAATTTTCTTATTTTACACAATAAAATAAGCCGTTTCTATAGGGTAGGTGGTTGTGAATGGTGTCAGGCCTTTGAAAAGCACACTTGCCATCATAACTTAGCCTGGAAGTGTGACATTGCAATAGCTGCAGTGAGTCTGGTAGCAGTAGTCAGGAGGTCATGCACTAAAAGGCTATCTAACAGGAAAACTGAAGTTGTAACTTTTGCAGGTTTTCTTTTGAAGGAACAGAACTGAGGGAAATAACACTGTTTAAGGAACAGATGCTGAAGGAAGACAGTAACACTTAGCCAGGAGATGTTACTAATTGCTTTTAAAGTAAACTTGTCAGTTAGAGAGTCTGTTTTAAATTGATGAAACTGAAAATCGTAAACTTGAGCCTTCACCCAGAACAAAATATAAACATAGCATATGAGCACTTCCTTCTGCAGTTAGAGAGTGTGGTTAATTTCACTTTTCCACTGGCGTTTGCAAAATTATGCAGTTGTTCATTTGCTTTTCAAGGAGCAAGCAACTCTTGCAACTTCCATATTTTAACATATTTTAACTTTTTGTATTGTTGCATGTGGCTTTTGTTTGTAGGTGCTCTCTCTGTGTCAAATCGGTATTAAATTTTGATGTGTCTTTTTGTCTCTTGGTTGGAATTTTTTTTTGGTGGTTCTTGCTTTAGGTTAGTTTTTGGTTATAAGTTGACTGGGTTTTGGTGAATGTGCTGGTACTAACGGCTTTCTGAAGATTAGGAAAGGTTGTGGTGTACCTGACCTTGTAACTCTTTTCCAGGGCTCCACGAGTCCTGTCCCCTCCAGGGAGGAGAA